AAAATCTGATAATTTTTGCTCGAGTTATCGCGCTAATGGACACACATATACAGACTGTCCCAAAAGTCCCGGACCGGTTTAATATTTTCTAAACGACAACAGATAAATCAATAAGATTTTGCACATCAACACCACACTTAAAAATCTACTTTTTTTAAGGACTATCAGTTTTCTGTCATATCATGGGGACGTCCCGCAAGGAGTCAGAAGGAAATCTTAGATAGAAGCATAGGTTGACATGCACATCAAATTAAAGACCTTTACTAGTAGATTACAATGCCGTAAATTCAAGCTCAAAAGAACGCCTGAGTAAAAAATGGCAGCCGTTCAAAGATTTCTTGAACCTGCCATTTTGAATCTTTGAACGACTGCCATTTTTTACTCAGGCGTTCTTTTGAGCTTGAATTTACGGCATTGTAATCTACTAGTGAAGACCTTTAATTTGATGTGCATATCGACCTATGCTTACGTTAAAAAAATTTTTCCGATTCCTAGGGCTGTGCCCCCAAATACAAATTAAATGAATCTTTGAACTACTGTCATTCTTGACTTGGTTGTCCGTTTGAGTTCAAATTTGCGGCATTATATTCTGATAGTAAAGACCTTTAATTTGATGTACATGTCAAGCTATGCTTCTATTTAAGATTTCCTTCTGACTCCTTGCGGGACGTCCCCATGATGTGACAGAAAATTGATATTTCCTTAAAAAAGTAGATTTTTAGGTGTGGTGTTGATGTACCAAATCTTATTGATTTATCTGTTGTCGTTTAGAAAATATTAAACCGGTCCGGGACTTTTGGGACAGTCTGTATATATATATATATTATATAAATATATATATATATTATATAAATATATATATATATAGGCCTATAAATATATATATATATGAATTTGAACGGATGGTGTTTTTGGCCTCTAGGAACCTCAAAACGAAAAAAAAAATTCGGCCCCGGTTCCAGGTCTTACCATGAGTACTACGGTTATAGCTTATTCCCTATATGGGAAATTCGCTAAAAGTAAATAGGTTTAATTCAATAAATTCACCTGGAGTCTGAAAACTTTTATAGTTTGTTTTTTTATTTATGGATAAGTTATGTAATGGGAATAAGTTTAGTTTGCAGGACTGCTGCGGCGGGAGTATTTTGTTATGTATTAAATGTCACAGCAAATCGCTTTTACGGTTTTATAGTGAAATTCTGTTTTAAGAATATAAGTTGAATCGGCATTAATTATTACTCGCATCCCAGTCCAAATTCTTGGGTCGCTAGCGGCACATTTATTTTATTATTGTCATGAGAGCCGAAACCCCCTGACTGCATACCCGGTACCTATCCTTTAGGACATACCCGGGCCCCATGATGTAGGCCGAAGCTTACGCATCAACCTTTAGCACATCATGGGCGGATGACTTAAGGTCATCAGGCTCGCCGGCTGCCGAAGCAGACCCTTCGGAAGGAGGGTTGCCCCTCAATCCTAACCAGGGATTCCGGCTGCTTGTTTAAGCGTCACTCCACCTGGGTTCCACTAGGTCGGGACCTAGAGGTCCATGGTAGAGCGCCCCGACGCATTTAGTGCAAGCAACACTCGGGACCTATCTAATCCCTGACAGGCAGAACCCGCCATCAATAGCCAGGAGGAAGGGGACCATCAGCACGCTGACGGGGGGAACCCCAACCTCCCATTTACACCGCTGCCCGATCGAGGCCTTACCCATTGCTGGGAAACCAGAGATAACCAGAGCAATAGATCCCCAGATACCCCTGGCGGGCTCGGACCCAGCACCCGATCTACTTCGTTTGCCCGTCAGACCCAACATCACTGCCAGGCCATCAGGGTTTCCCAAAAGGAGGCAGGTATAGAAGTGGGACCCACCCGGATGAACCTATCCACCAGAGGTGGCGACACCCTTGACTCAATTGAGGTTCCGGGAAGAACCCCCCACACTCAAGATAACCATACCGTCCGTACTCAGAGACAGGGATTGGTTTGCATAAGTACCTACAAACCGTTGCCCTCACACTGCGGAAAGTTACGTTGCCCTTGAGTGTCCCCGTGAGCTACGGGTACTTGCCCGTTTTCACCTCCAGGAAAGGTTACTTCCAAAGTCGAGGATTTGCCCACTGAATGCTGGTCGCACACAACAAGCAGGCCGAAGCCCAAAGAACCACAGACACAGGTAGGTTAGAGATTATGATGTACTTCCATCTCTCCTAGAGCTAAACACCCCTCCATCCTGGATAAAGGAATGTCACTGGGACCCAATGCCCAGTCGTCCATGTCTGTGGCCTACTTGAAAATGCCGATACCAACACGGAGCATTTACCTCCCCTCCGGGGGCTAGGTATTTCACCTCCCAGGACGAGGCTACTTCCAAAGTCGAGGATATGCCTCACAAAATGTCAGTCGTACACAACAGGTAGGACTCAGTCACAACCACAAGCTACAGGCAGGTGAAAGATCAATGAACTTAATCAACACTAGCAGAGCTGAACACCCCACCACCCTGAATGGAGGGAATGTCACTGGGTACTCTCACTTTGGGTACAACCCAAAGAGGCTGGCTTGTCCAGTCGTCCATAGCTTGTGGTCTACCTGAAGTGCCGGTTCCAACACCGGGCAATTACCTCCCCTCTGGGAGAGCTAGGGTCCGCGTGGTCGCCCAGGCCACGAACCCACGCAAGCGTGGGCCCCCTGCGGTACCGCTAGCGGCACGGTAGAAAATTGGTGGGTTGCATCCAGTACGAGTCGCTTCTCGCACGGTCGCTTCTGGCACAACACCGGTTCACCCCTGATTCTGCCTCACTCTGGCATGCATTTATAATACCTGCCCCAAAGTTTAGAAAGTATGGAATCATTTGTCGAAATAGGTTGGATAACTCTTGTAGCTATAAGATTTGGATGGCACTTTTCATATTCTCTTTTTGAACAGCGTATATTATTTGCCTTTCCTGAATCATAAAAATAAACTTGACCGTAACTACTCGATCGTTACATAAACCAAATACCCCCGCCGCAGCAAACCTGCAGACAAAGCGAATTTCCATTTGCCTGATTGGATTCACACTAAAATGTCTCCCTAAAAATATCACATTTATTCCCTATTTAAATAGCATTAGTTTAACAAGTACTTAGGTTTGCTGCAACAGGGAGGGTAAATACCCCCGCCGCAGCAAACCTGCAGACTAAGCGAATTTCCATTTACCTGATTGGATTTACACTAAAACGTCTCCTTAAAAATATCACAATCCTTATTTAAATAGAATCAGTTTAACACATACTTAGGTTTGCTGCAACAGGGAGGGTAAAAGTGTTTTTTATGTAAAATGTTAATAGTTAGTAAGAAATAAAAACATTTTCCAAATTTGGGCAAAATATGTTAATAAACAAGCAAACTACAACAGTTTACTTATTCTCCATAAGAATAACATGGGAATTTTAAATTTACAATTTTTTGGAATTTTCTCCGTAACGATTAGGTGCATTATAACGCTTCAATATACTAAATTATTTGTTTTTTTAAGCTCTACAAAATAGTTTAGAAAGAAATTGCAAAATTTTATGTATTTTGAGTCAAAAATGGGAAAAACCCATTTTTACCCCATAAAACCCCCCATAAACCCCCGATCCCATGGTCCGATCATGCTGGTTCGCGAACTCGTTCGAATAAACGTAGGTTTACACGTTTGTACCGAATTTCATCAAAATCGGATCGTTTTTGCTCGAGTTATCGCGCTAACGGACACATATATAAATATATATATATATATGAATTTGAACGGATGGTGTTTTTGGCCTCTAGGGACCTCAAAACGAAAAAAAAAATCGGTCCCGGGTCCAGGTCTTACCATGAGTACTACGGTAATAGCTTATTCCCTATATGGGAAATTGGCTAAATATTCCCTATATGGGAAATTCGCTAAAAAGAGCAATGCAAGAAAAACTTCATGTAACGATTGGGTAAACAGATTTTTTAGGGTAATTCGACCCTGCTGAGTACAAATCTGCGTGTTGCCAAAGCGAAATTTGAACCGGAAGTGCGGTATCCAAGATGGCAGCCAGACAATGTTTGCCCCATTACTCTTTTGTTATTTGGCCTAAAATATTGGCTGAAACATCTGAATAGAGGTTTTCTCAGGTGCCAAACACATTGCAATACTCAAAATCTACTTACATCAACTTTTAAGAGCATATGTTCCAAGATGGCACCCAAGATGGCGTCCTAAAACTATCCTCAATGGTTTTACAAACTAAATGATTTGTTGTACTGAAAATTTAAAAAACGTTCTATTTGAACGTGTTGGAAAATGCTCATCTTGTCCGACCGGTGAAGATGGCTCCGAGTCATATAGCTGGGGGCTTCACTGACGGGTCGCCGGAATTTTATCTCCCTGGAATTTTACCCCCTGGACAAAGCTGACGTCACTATGACGTAGTAACCTGAGTGGCCAAAAGTTTGTTCGCGGCCGGAATTTTACCCCCGCGGATTTGGAAGTCTAATGAAAATAGTCAGAGCGTGATTAATTAGATTAGTGATAAAAACCGGAATTTTACCCCCTGTCCACATAACTAGCGTTTAGACAACTGAAGATGTACGGGCCGGATTTTTACCCCCCGAAATTTTACCCCCGGAATTTTACCCCCGGATTTTTACCCCCCGGAATTTTACCCCCTGGCTGATTTTAGAAATTGAACTAGCTGTGAGTACCCGTTCTTCGTACGGGTTTATTCAAGAATAAGGTTACAAACTTTTTGTAATAACAATGATTAATTTATTTTAACATAATTTAGTACATAAAAATACATTAAAAAACTTAAATCTTAAAAAATATTCGAAAGTTTTAAATAACAAAGTTGGCAAAGATAGCAGAGTTGAAGCGCTTAACATTTGTCACAGCGAAATTACAATATCAAAATTTCAAAAACAACAAATGACATACATTGAAAATAAATATTAAATAGTGAAGAAAAACAAAAAACACAAAAAATTAAAAGGTTGCCTAACTTAATGCCTCTTCATATACTATATTAGTGGTTCGACCGCCTGGGGCATGTATGTAAAGGTTGGTTGGCGATCGCACTCGGCTGCACGCCACGTACAGCTGTCCGTGTGAAAAACATTGCGCGTCACCTAGTTCAATCCCTGCTGTTGACAGTGTCTGACCTTGCGATTTGTTGATCGTCATGGAAAAACATGGATTTAAGGGAAATTGCAGGCGCTTAAACTCAAAGGGATAGTTGCTTGGGATGAGGGGGATCCGGGGGACAAACACCACTTCTCCCGCACCACAGCCTGTTAGAATTTCGGCTTCTATGACATTTCGCTGGAGACTTCGAATTCGAAGCCGAGTCCCATTGCATAATTTAGGAGGGTTTAAATTTCTTAGAAGCATAACGGGAATACCAATTTTAAGATTAAGTTCGTGGGCGGGTAGTCCAGGTGCTGTCACCGAGTCAAGAAACTCTGCCGGGTAGTGCACTGCGTCATCATTTCTTAGAACTGTGTTCACCGACAAATATGTCTTGTCCTCGCTTAGGAATAGGGACATCACTTTCTTATTTATCTTTGTTGAAACTTCATTTTTTGGAGTGAGAATAGCCCTATTGCATAACCAGGCACTGCTCTTGTTTGGGAGGTCTTCAATTCCTGGATAGACTTTCTCGATGAGTTCATCTTGGGTTTGAACAATAACACCAAGAGAAGGTGGTATATCGATAGTTCCATCAACGTTACCCAGCTTTCCATCTCCCAACTTTAACAGAACATTGGAGAATTCTTCCACCTCATTTCCAATATTGGCCCGCATGTTCTTTGTTAACGCCAGTTTGTTCATTATTGGCCATAGGGTAGATCTTTTCATAGAGGCGTTAATTTCATCCGCCCTTGTGCCTCTCACTACAACTGGCAGAGTTTGGCGGAAGTCACCAGAGAACAATACCGTCACTCCACCCATGATCTTATTACTGTTCCTCATATCTTTGAGTGTTCTGTCGAGGGCCTCGATTGTCAGTTTATTGGACATCGTACACTCGTCCCAGACTATTAAGGAGGCTGCTTGTAGAACTCGTGCCATGGGAGCGCTCTTCGATATAGAACAAATCGGGATGTCCATATGCTCTACATTTATTGGGATTTTGAACATGGAATGGGCAGTTCTTCCACCTGGCAGAAGGGTTGCTGCAATGCCAGAAGAGGCCACAGCAAGAGCAATCTTACTGTTTGATCTAACCTTTGCGAGAATCAGCTTTATGAGGTAGGTCTTTCCAGTACCTCCAGGAGCATCAAGAAAAAACATCTTGTTTCTTTGTCCATTTATGCTCGTCAAAACTTGCTCATACACTTGGCGCTGCTCCTCGTTGAGAGTTGGCGTACACTGTTCAATAAACCTAATGAGTTCGGGATGGTCGTAACTTGTCTCTCTGATATAATCATGGTTTAACTGATTGACATCTATGGCTGGTACTGGTAAGTTGTAGCTTTCGAGCCCAAGTCCTCCCATGCGAGTGATTGTCTCTTGAATGCTTGCTAGGCACTGGTCATATATGATAGGATTGTTTTCAAAGGTGGTGTTAATGTCGACTTGATGTGCAGATCTCAAAAAGTCCTCTGAGAGGGAATCTCTGAATCTGATCCAGAGCTCAAGAGGGTTGCTCACATTGCAAAATACTAATAAGACACTGAAGAGATCCCTCAACTTGGTGGGACTGTCAGAAACAGCAGCTTCTGCAAGAGTGCCCTCCCAGCACGCATCATCCTCTAGTAAACCAAGGGCACGGCATGCGGATTGGAAATTTGGATGGAGCACACCATCAACAGTCTTGAGATCCTCAAAAGATGTTGGACCTCGAACAGTGTGTAGGAGGAGTCGGAGATGGTAACGCTCACTGCAGCTTGGATGGACAGTGTACACCCTACCGATGCACGGATCTTGTCTCACGTCAGGATGTCCTGGTACTGGTTGTCCTCTCCGCCTCCTGGACCAACCTCTTTGTTTAGAGTATGTGTAATAATAGGGCAACTCGTTGTAGAGGAGGGTTCTTGAAAAGGCGTCCGTCTGGCAGAGATTGAAGAAGGCCAAAAGAGTTGTACTTTGGTCCATTCTTTCCCGAACATTGCCTGGCTGGAAATATACTCTTTGCTCATTTGGAAGGTGGACCTCTAAATGCAACACAGCGGGAAACCTCTCATGTATAGGAAATGATAAAATTCTCCATACCGCCTCAGATGTGCATATATACCGACCACTTTGGTACATTTTAATTTCGTCTGTGTCATTACTTACTGCAAATGTGGCCTGGTCACTGCCCTTGTTTATGTACTTGCAGATGTACTTTATAGATTTTACACTGCTACAGTACTCAACGTTAACATGTGTTAGAAATGTTCAGGACAATACAGGCGAGTAAGGTACTACCCATCGGTTGTCCATAGGGATTTCATCGTTACCTACTCTGATTAGGACATGATGGCCTCCATCATCTGGGGAGCGCCTTCTGTATGTTGGGTATCCATTGTCTCCTGTTGCCGTTTCATTGACAAATGGTCTAGGGTATCTTTTGCTACAGTGACCATCCTTCATACAGGGAAGCTTGCGCTGTCGCACATTAAAAGCTCCGCATGGTCCGTGCAGCATGTGAGTCTTGACTATATCTGCAAGTTCAGGATCAGTTTCAGGATTTGGAAGCTCTGCAGAAATGACTTGATCTATTCTATTTGGAGGAATGGATTCTTCAAGCCAAATCAGGATATGAGCGTGTGGAAGACCACGTTTCTGCCATTCAACAGAGTACATGTAGCAGCGAACTGAGCCATAAATCTGGCCTTTCATAAGAACAGCAATCATACAGTTAAGCTTCAAATGAAAAACTCGTGATACCACATCATACCGGTCGTGAGCAGACTGCCTTTCTCCAATTACACTCGTGATTTCTATCCATTTTGGATTTGTTGTCATTGTTATGAAAAGTTCTGGACGACCAAACTTCCGAACATAGCAAAAGGCGTCCTGTGTGCGAGAATGCATATATCTAGGACCTCCAGTGAAGGTGGCAGGTAAAATTATCTTTTGCCCCATTTCTTCTACGTTGTCGTCTCGTCTTAAAGCGTCTTGAAGGTGTATGTAATTCTCTGCTCTCAGTTCCTTTTGGTGCGTACGAAGATACAGCAGCCTTTCACTCTCAACTTTAGCGTACATGTCCACCAAGTACTGGTTCAAAAGCTGTTTGAATTTATGAATGTGATTTGCTTCACCTTCTCTAACCATAATGCGATAGGCGTAAAACTCTCGTGAGCTAGTTTTCTTTGTGGTTGGTTGTTTAGTAACCGGGTTTACATGATATAAATTGAAACTATATCCATCTTCGCCTCTACAAAACATAAGGGGATATTGTAGGGCATCATAAGATCGGTGGGTTTCATATATTCGTTTCAAACCCTGTTCTCTTGAATTTAAAATGATGTCTCGATGGTCACTTGGATCCCCAATCATCAAAATAGCAACCTCATTGACTGTTGGTTCATTGTATCTACCTGGGTGGTCCCCTGCAGGGCGTCTGTCGGCTCTAATAACAATTTTGAAATCAGGTGAATCTACAGGAAATGTTTCTAAAGTAGTTTTGAAGCTGAGCAAGTAGGCGTTATTATTCTGAAGCATGTTTTGCAAAGCGGCCAACATGTCATGATCAAGGTCTTGAAATAAACTTTGCCTTCTTTGAAGCTGGACTTGGTCATCCCCAACAAAGTAAATCTGAAGGTAAGACGGCGGAAGTCCAGGGGGTGGCAAAAGAGAGCCGATCAAATGGTACACTTGTCCTTGAACCTTAAATGTAGGCATATATGGTCCTTCACGGATTTCATTACCTCCAAAAGAAGTCATTTGGAACGCACTATTGTAGGCCCTGATATGTCTAAGAAAATTTCGCGATTGAGGTGATTCGTCCGATATCCATGTACGTAGCGGCTCAGGTGCTTCCAAAATAGACGGTATGGACACTTTACCAGAAGCACAACATATTCCACGTGGTTCCTTTGACCAACTCAAAGCGTGACAAAACCTACAAACTTTATCAAAATCTCCAATATTGGCAGCTTCACTGTAACGTGTAAAAGGATCATATTGGAATCCACTGTTGTGTGTGTCTCGCCATTCTGTTAAATTTCTTTCGACATGCCGAGTTCTTTCCCGCGCGATCCTAGTTTGTCTTTCTGCGTCGCTCTCAACGACTCTGTTCACCCTATGTCTTTCAGAATCAGCGGCAACACGGGCATTTCTGTCAGCAATGTCCTGGCTTGCTCGAAGTTCCTCCACTCGGGTCGCCTCGTCATGCAAAAGTAGAGTTTGCTCTTCAACAGTGCGACGGTACCTATCATTGTCGATTATATGTCTAGCTTCCCGCTCTTCAGGAGTTTCATTATTCCTACGTTGGTTTTGCCGAACTCTATCTCGTTCTTGCCTACTTTCTCTCTCTTCTCTTGTTTCATTTTCCCTCCTGCGAACGTGTAGGATTCGGTCACTGTTTCGACGTGCTCCTCCCTCCTCCACTGTCTCGTTTTCCCTCCTTTGAACATGTAGTATTCGGTCACTCTCCCGACGTGCTTCTTGCTCCTCCTCTGTTTCGTTTTCCCTTCTCTGGACGTGTAATATTCGGTCATTGTTCCGACGTGCTTCTTGCTCCTCCTCTGTTTCGTTTTCCCTCTTCCGTACGTGTCGTATTCGGTCACTGTTCCGACGTGCTTCTCGCTCCTCATCTGTCTCGTTTTCCCTCCTCTGAACATGTAGTTTTCGGTCACTCTCCCGACGTGCTTCTTGCTCCTCCTCTGTTTCATTTTCCCTCTTCCTTACGTGTATTATTCGGTCACTGTTCCGACGTGCTTCTCGCTTCTCATCTGTCTCGTTTTCCCTCCTCTGAACATGTAGTATTCGGTCACTCTCCCGACGTGCTTCTTGCTCCTCCTCTGTTTCGTTTTCCCTCCCCCGAACGTGTAGTATTCGGTCACTGTTCCGACGTGCTTCTCGCTCAACCTCTGTCTCGTTTCCCCTCTTCTGAACTTGCTGTATTCGGTTGCTGCACCGACGTGCATCTCGCTCCTCTTCTGTCTCATTTTCTTTTCTCTGGACGTGCCGTATTCGGTCCCTGTTCCGTCGAGCTTCTCGCTCCTCTTCCGTCTCATTTTGTATTCTTTGGCTAAATCTTAAACGTTCAGTGTCTCGCCTGCTTTCACGTTCTTTTTCATTCTGCTGAGACCTAAATAGGGCGACACGCTCTCGACTGGTTGAAGGTCGTGCATAATCTTCAACCACAACGGAACTTAAAATTGTCGACTCATTATTGCTATGTACACCATCATCAGAGTCCGAATCATCATAATCAACTGATTCCGTGGATACACACAATTTTTGTCTCTTGGCATTATTTGTTTTTCTACCCAAATTGCTTTTTCTCTTGCGAGGCATACTCTTCAGGACATATTTATTTAGAAACAATAGAAAATATTTCAACAAATAATGTATTAAAGATTAACTTGTAACCTCTCAACTAAAGCAACAAAAATATTGTCCATATGTTTAGTTGTAAACAAATTTAATTTGTGTTTGACACTATGTCAACGAATATCTCTACTGTACAGTATGAAACATCTGATTGATGCAAATTCATATGGGAATATGAACTTTTTTAAAAACATTACCTCAAAAAAAAAATAAATTAAAAGAAGAGTAGATTTTCTTTTATTTATAAACGTGAAATAATTTAGGACATTATTAACTATTATAACTTTTATTTTGGTGTAAAGAGTAATGAACAATAATAAACTGGTCAAGTTTGTTTGCTGGTTAGTAGCGCACAGATATTAAAGAATAACAATCAGCTGATCGTAATTTTGTTATCTAAAATGTTTAACTTTTATATTGAATACTTTGTATTGAATCTGTAATTTGAATTAAATTTACTTCTAACCAATTAATGTATTATTATTTTAATTATTTGTACGGTAATGGATGAAATGTACAAAACCCATTGTTATAATTAGCAGAACTGGTGTTCAGTTATATAATATAGTATACATTTCGTATGGTTTTTAAGTTGTGTGAATCGATAAGGCTATGGTTAACCTTGAGTTCAAATAGGCTAACGTTTTCTAATCACAGCTGTATGCCAATGTCAAAATTAAGATTGTATTTCAATTAAAACCATGTGCATATGATTAGTTGTAAACAAAGCAACATTCTTCCAGAAATTCCACGTCAAAAATCGACAAAAACTTGATTTTCAAGGGTTTACTGTTAAATATCTAACTGTCTCATATTCGATGAAATACGTCTAAAACCATCTCATATATGTATAGTATTTGGAAAATAAGTTTCAGGCGGGACAGTGCTATAGTTATTGAGGAGTAGTTGTAATAAAGTGCGTATTTTAGCGTTACCAAGAGAATGACAGATAGACAGACAGACAGACAGACAGACAGACAGACAGAAATTGAGATAAGGTTTGATTCGGTTTCTCTGACCTATGAAATGTAAAAATAACCAAAAAGTTCATTATTCTAAGCAATGTACAGACAAAACTCTAATTTTATTTATATAGATGATTGATTTTCTTATTTCTGTTTTTAATTAATTGTAACCATTTCATTATTTAGTATCCTATCTTTATTTATTTAATTTGTAATCTCAACTAAGTAAACAGAATTCGCTGTTTTATTTTGATCATATTAACCAACAGTTGGCTTCAAAGATCGAATCCTGACACTCGAATCACAAAATTAATATTAAAACCCTGTTCGATTAGTTAATGTTACATATAAATTAAGGCTTCTTAATAATAAAATGTTTACCATTAAATTGAAACTGAATGACGATAATTAATCATTCTCACTAATTTATATATCTGGCCAGGGGGTAAAATTCCGGGGGTAAAAATCCGGGCCGTACATTCTAGGTTTTTATAATTTGATGTGTTATAAACTCACAACCGTGAAAATATATGTTTAATTCCGCGTTTAATCCATCAAGCTGATGTCGCGAAACTCAAAAGTTCGCGGCCGGAATTTTACCCCCTGGTTTGTGACATCCCATCCTTGTGAGATCCTTGTCAGTCCCAAAAGCCTCCACAGATATCCTAGGATGTAATTGTTTATCCAAGTGTATATCTACAATGTAAACGCACAAGAAGAATCGAAAGACTTGCACCAAACTGTGCTACCGTTCTTAACAATGTTTGACACTTTTAAATGGTTCATTCATTTTGTTCATATCTTATTTTAAATATTGCAATTAACAATTTATTTTCTCTTAGATGGCCTTTTTCTCATATTTCTTGTCCTCTTCCAAGGACAGGAGTTTTGGCAGCTGATGTTAGAACCTAGGTCCTACACAATCGTATGAAGTATATAATTAGTGTTTCAATCCATTTGGCATCAGAAGAAAAATCTTTATGGACGTTTAAATAATAATGTCAAACAAACAAACAAGGCAGATATACGGAAACAGAGTTTTTTGGCGGCCATATTGTGTGCCATCTTGGAAAATAATACCTCAAGGGTTGTTGTGATTACGTTTTGAGTATTGAAATGTGTTCGGCATTCCAATAAAACCCCTATGCAGACGTTTAAATTATTATTTTGGGCCAACTAATAAGAGAGATATGCGAAAACAGAGTTTTAGGACGCCATCTTAGGTGTCATCTAGGAACATATGCCCCTAAAAGTTTATGTAAGTAAATTTGGAGTATTGCAATGTGTTTGCAATCCGATAAAACCCCTATGCAGATGTTAAAACTATTATTTTAGGCTGACTAAGAAGAGAGATATGCGTAAACAGAGTTTTAGGACGCCATCTTGGGTGCCATCTTGGAACATATGCTCTTAAAAGTTGATGTAAGTAGATTTTGAGTATTGCAATGTGTTTGGCACCTGAGAAAACATCTATTCAGATGTTTCAGCTAATATTTTAGGTCAAATAACAAAAGAGTAATGGGGCAAACATTGTCTGGCTGCCATCTTGGATACCGCACTTCCGGTTCAAATTTCGCTTTGGCAACACGCAGATTTGTACTCAGCAGGGTCGAATTACCCTAAAAAATCTGTTTGCCCAATCGTTACATGAAGTTTTTCTTGCATTGCTCTTTTTTAAAAACGTACCTTCTCCAATTGTATTTTGTTGTAAATTAATAACATTAATAATATATGGATTATTAAATTACAAATTATTAAATTTTGGTTATTAAATGATAAAGGATAATTACGTTTTTGTTACCCAAGCAGCTACAGGTTGAGTTCGGACATATTTCGTCAGTAAAAACTCAAATACAATCACCTCAATGTATATTTAATCCGTTTTAAAAATAAAATCTTTATTAAAATCTAATTTATAACTTTTTTTAAACGGGATATCACTATAAGTGTAATAGAGATTCTTAAAGCAAATTTCTTCTTCTTTTCAACTATAAAAGAATTATCAAAATCGGTCGTAAAACGATGGAGTTATTTGCATTTTTCTCGATCAAGGTCAAGTCAGGTGGTCCGCCATATTGGATGGCAGCCATATTGGTACTCGACCAACGCCGATCGTGGCAACATGCGTTTTCTTACTGTCCAAAGTGTCCTTAACAACAATCAAAAGAGAAAGTGCGTCCGAATAATTTTGCATACTCAACCCCAACCCCGGCCTGGTCTAGTAGGCCAAAACCATCATGGCGTTAGTGTTTCAGAAAAACAACCAGAAAGTTAACCATAATTATTGATGTAATTGCGTGGCTCTGTAACACAAAAAATATTTTTAAATAATCGTTTTACAGTTTTATTGGTCTTAATTGTTGATATAAGACATCTATAAATGAATCTATATTTAAGAAATAAAATGAGCTTTTAAAATATAGTTTGGTTGTGTGTCCTTTGAACTTAATGAAATTTACATAAGTTGCTTAGAAATAATGCAATAAGTTATTTAAAAATAAGTAGGTACTTAATATGATGGGACACCCAACTATTTGTTTCTGTTGTTGTAATGTTCGGTTTATAATGCCAACAAATTAAATACACTCTAGGAATAATTTGTTTTCCAAGTAATGTTAGTTAATGTGACATTTTTTGTTTAGATGTTTGTTCAATAAAAATGAAGTTGAAATTAATTTTACATTTACCTAATGTGCGTGGAATAAAAAGTAACGTCTTTGGAAAAGTAGCTAAAATTGTAGCTGTAGCTACATTTCATTGTAGCTGTAGTTGTAGCTAGCTACTTTTTCGGAACTGTAGCTGTAGCTGTAGCTAAGCTACTTTTTAGGAAATGTAGCAGTAGTTGTAGCTAGCTACATTTTAAAAGTAGCTTCCCCAACACTGAACAGACATCATAGACGACGGAAAAACAATAGAAAGAACAAAATACATACCAATCAACTATACTGATTGAATAACAGAGAAAATTGGAAAAGTCTTCAACAATGCAGGATATAAACCAGCACAGAGTCAAAACAAATCCTGTCCCAAACTACAAAATAGCGGAGAAAACTGACATCCCAATAGAACAAGAAATTGGGGCGTATATAAAAAAAAACATGTGCACCACCATGCCAAAAAGAATACATTGGTTATACGAACAGGTCAGTTAAACAGAGATTCAAAGAACATAGTGCCAGCCACCACGCCAATCCAGAATCATTAGTGGCCAAACACCTGAAAATTAATCAGAATCACCACATTTCATTTCCCCATTTCCGGAATCATTAACAAATAAATAAATAAATAAATCTTTATTGTCACATAACGTTTACAAAATATAGCAATGCTATAAAACAGGTGACATTGTCAATACAGTATACAAATACCTTAAAACTAAGGAGTTATAAAAGAATAAAATAAACTAACGCTATGAAAATAGAAATAATTGTTGTAGACAAAATAGATAAACTTAAACATTGCATTTAAAATACAAAATAATTACACATCTTGATCACATAAAAACTCATCTATACTATAATATGTTTTCCTTAAAAGAAAAGTAGTAAGGCTGCTCTTGAAATGCTTAAACTGTATTCTGTTTTTGAGCTCTTGACACAATTTATTAAACAATTTTTTGCCCATTTATGTCGGAGTTTTTTCTACTAATGAAAGACGGTGCCGCGGATATTGAAAATTATATTTAAACCTAGTATCGTACTTATGCTTGACATTTTCACTACATAATTTTTCAAAATTTCCCTCCACCATCAAAAGTGTTTAAAAATTGTTAAACTCGGAACAGTCATTATCCCTAATTCTTTAAAAATAGGTTTACATGATGTTCTCCAAGGTGCAAATATCATTATTCTTAAAAACCTTTTCTGTATCTTAAAAATTAAATCGATGTTTGATGCAAAGCCCCAGAATTCAATTCCATACTGAAGAATTGAATAGAAGTATGCTTAATATAACATCAAACGAGTTTTTAAGTCAATTGTGTTTCTTAAACATATCATA